GCAAGAAAATCACTTTCATCACACATAAATAAAAAATATTATCACCAATCAGGAGCAATAATAACTTGAGCATCTTTCTCCAATAAATGACATAAAAGTTTTGAAATTTTAGAAGAGTCCCTTATAATTCTTCTTTAGAAATTTTGGGCCTTAAGATAAATCCCTTGACAACATAAAATGAAATTTCTTCCATTTTATAAAAAGGAATAAAATATATTAGCAAAAATCAGAAAAGTCATCGATGAAGATTTTAATGCCCAAACTACACTAATATTAAGTGTATGAAATTATGTTCCATGTGCACTCAAAGATTTTAATGCCCAAACTGCACTAGAAGTCATGGATATTTTACTTAAATACATGCGCTATTACAATAATTCTTATATGACATCCTAGTTCCTGCGACCAAATCTAGTTGGGCAGGTGGCTTTGTTATATCCGATTGAGTGGCAAGCTCCGCAAACCCTATTGCTCCGTAGTGGTGCCTCGTCCATTGTATTGCGATACCAAATAGTCATTGGACGTCCAGAGCACCTTCAGTAGTTTGGGGGGAGAAGCGGGATCAAGCCTGTATTGGGGTCATGCTCTCCCCATTCTTCCTTATTGGGGATATGGTGAAATTCTGCATAATAACTTAATTTGTAGTTGGTCTTCGTGTAGTTGGGAGAAACAATCAAAATGTGTTCGTCTTAACATTGTTATACAACATACCACATGATATGTGATATAGTAAAGGTTTCCCACAACTATACTTGCACCTCCTCCCGTCAAGTAAGTCGACACGATATGATTTAAAGGACATGTCAACAACTTGAAATTCATGCAAGTTAAGACAGATTGGTTTTGGCATTCGTCTAGCCTCCTCCTCAACCCTTTTTAGTGAAGTCTGTACACGTGGAGCAAAGAAGGTATTATTTTGTTGCTCTTCAGTTATAATGAACTCCAACCGCCTCATGAACATTGCAATAATGTTATAGTAGATGGCCGTAATCAAGGCTTGAATTGGCAATCCTCGTGCTCGCTTCAAAACTCCATTAAAAGATTTAGCTACATTAGTTGTCATTACACCATATCTAAATCCACCATCATTTGTTTAAGACCATCGGCTCACATCTCGGTCCACGATCCACTGGTGGATGTCTACTTTGATCCTCTACATATCTTCAGTACATCTATTAAAAAATCGTTTATCATCTGTATTGCGAGCTGCATACATTTTTTGGCAAAAAAACTCTACGTCACCTAACCCCATCTGTCGTATTGCTTTCTTGAAATTCTCACATAGATGTCTTAAGCAGTGCTGATGAAAAACATTAGGAAAGATTTATGTGCAACCTCAGACCAAACCAGCACGCCTGCCTAATATGATACAAAGATTATGCATGTTCATAGGGATGCAAACGAACCAAGCCAAGCCGAGTATGTTAGTGTTCATGTTTGTGTTCATTTAATATCTGCTTGTTCAAGTTTGGTTCATGTTTGTTCGAGCTTTATTGTTTGTGTTCATGTTTGGTTCATTTAAATTAATGAGTGTTCATATTCGGTTCATGTTCAGTTCATGTTCGTTTGTTTAATGTTTATCGAGCTTGTTCGCGAACATATTTAACAAAATTTTTCTAACTATCAAGCAAACACATTCATGAACATATCTATGAACAAACATATTTATAATAAAAGTAATTGTCTATGTAACAAATGCAATGATTATTTATATTTATTAATTATATAGTCAAATATTAATTATTTGTATCGAGCTTATTCACGAGTTTAAAATCGAACACGAATCGAGCTTCTTATCGAGCTTAATGTCGAGCTTGTTCACGAACTTCAAATGATGTGTTCATGAACATAAATGAGCCGAATGCATTAGTGTTCAAGTTTGTTTATTTAAGAATCGAGTATTTAAAATATTGTTCAAGTTTGTTTGTTTAGTTAATTAAACGATCACAAACGAGCGTCAATCAAACCAAACAACGAGTAGCTCATCGAACATTTGGTTCGCTTGCAACCCTACATGTTTATAACCACAGGGAGTAGCTTATCAACTTGCCTCAGAAACCATATCCATGATTTGTTACACTCTAACTCAACTATAACAAAGGCAAGTGGAAATAGACCATTATTAGCATCCATGCCGATCAAAGTTAATAATGTCCCTCGATATTTACTGAGCAAGAATGTGCCATCAAGACAAAGAACTAACCGACAATAATTCCACCCAATAATAGAGGACCAAATGCCCAGAATAGTCTTTGAAACCTATTCATCTGTGTGATTTGAATTCTATATAATGTTCCGGCATTGCATAGGCAACAACATCCATGAACAAATTAAGAGTATGATAAGACTCATCCCAATTGCCAAAAATAACTTTAATAGCCTTCCACCGAGCATTCCAAGACTTCATGTATGTCACTTTAATATTGAACTTAGATTCCATACGACCAATTATCTCCCTTGGCTTCAAGTCCATCTGCTTTCTAATAGTGGGTAGAATGTAGAAACTTATAAACTGTCAGTTGCACTGACGGTGGCCACTTTCGAGAATTGGATAAACACATGTATGTTGGATCTTTATAGATGAGATTTTCCATATACCGCCTAAGCGTTTACTCTGAACAGAATGAAGGATATACGGGGCAATCATGCTTTGCACAAGTAACTGTAAATTTCTTTGTATTCGATGCGATGAAAATATATTACACATTATTTTTAATTGCCCAGCCTTGTAACGCAAATTGCATATCAGTCTTTCTTGTGAAGCACATTCCTTCAATTAAGTCGTTATGAATCAATAATTCATCCTCCATTATCACCGCATCATAAACATCATCAAAGTCAACTTCCTGATCCCATTATTGTGTAGTCCTACAAGTCTCGGCGTAGTTATTATTTGTTACCATTATATCCTCACTGCCGACTGATCTAGAACAATAATCTTGGATAACATTTCTAATCTCCTCATTATCAACTGGAACTCCATCGTTAACCACTGGTAAAAGATCAGCACCATCATCATCAGAGCATTGCTCACTAGAGCCACTACTCATAGTCTCATAATCGCAATGATATGAAGGGACTGATTGTGTAGAAGCTACTGGAGGTTCCTGCATCTGTTGGTTCTATGTATCACTACATTGAAAATATTTTTTATCATTTATTAATCAATAATACATATTTCTATAGAATTATTAGTGATATGTGGTATAGGGAACTCACTAATGAAATGCTTCTTCTACTGCTTCTACCCTTGAAGGACTAGTAACCACATCAACCCTTTCAACTTTGGTTGAAGTTGCATATCTTTGTGAATTTGGAGACTCGGTGTTATCTTCACTTACATTAATCTCTTCGACATTAACATGCATGATGAGAAATTTTGTTTCAGCCTGACATAATAAAACTTCACAAACATTGTAATCTTCAACATGTGAAGCGATAAACTCATTTCCCACAGGCACTCAACAGACTAAGTTCACAGAAAACTTTGTAGAATCATACTTAAGTGCTCTAAGTATCCTTAACTTAAGCTGCTCTAAGTTTATATTTCTCGGCACATGTAAGGGACGATTCCTACCCCCATAATAACTTGGTGCGAATTTATCATCCACTTGTAACTCACCTCCATATAGTAGCATGAAGGTTGCACTAAGTTCACTCGTTATTCAGCTCGTACATGCCACTAAAAAAGATGAACAAATAATAAATTCTTAATATACGTTTATTTTAATTTATATTATTTCTAAATCCTAAACCTAAGTTATAAAAATTATAATATCATAATGAAGTACTACATTAATTCAATTATGACATAAACATATTTAAATGATTAGTATAATATGAAAAAAATTTAATATCCAATAAATTACTTCTACTTGTCTCTCTACCAAATAATTACTCCAAACAAAAACAAAAATTTTTAATTTTAAAATACTTCTAATTATCTCTCTACTTAAAATAACCTCAATTATTTTGAAACTAACACTTATTAAGGATTTCATCTCAAAATTCATTCGAACTAACATAATATAACTTCAAAATAATTAAAATTATTACAAAAAATATATGAAATTTAAAATAAAATTTTAAAAGTTTACCTCTTTCCAAACACATGTAAAATTAACCCAAATATTTACTTCAACATACACTAACATCAAAATATAATGAGCATTGCTTAATAACAAAATATAAAAAAATTCAAAAAAATTTGATATCCAGCCTTCATCTTCTCCATCCCAAAATAACCCAAAAAACACGTATATTTACCGCACAAATTGCCACTTTAAATATATAATTTAACCCTAAATCACATATCTACAAAATATTTAAAACATTCGCATCCTAAATGCAGAAATCTATACTTATTGCAAACAAATTTTGAAATTCATTCAACAAACAAAGAGATTTACATAAAAAATTAAAGAAACAATCTGCAAAGCATAAATCTTTACTTCTCTAAGCAAAATAAATATTAATCAACATATATTTAACTTAATTAACATAAAATACATAAATAAAAACTTACCTTATCTGATGCCGGCAAAGAACCGAAGCAGCTGTGAAAAATGGCAAAGAGGGAGAGGAATGGATTGGGAAAGGGAAAGTCAGAAATTTATCTAAGGCTAAGTCGCCCGTTAAATAGGCGACTTATAAGTCACCAGTTAAACGGGCGACTAATGTCAAGTCAACTAATTGCCACATCATCTGCCACGTTGTTCTTTGGATTAGACATAAGTAGCCTTTCAAACGAGCGACTTTGTCTATTTTTAAATTCTTTCATAGCCATACTTAATCTTATAGTTAACTCGCTAATTATGCTTACTTTGAAAATTTGCCCAAACATTTATAACTTTAAATTGGAAATTAGACCCTAAACAATTGAATCATGTGCAGATACAAAAGCTATCAAAACAAGTGCAAAGGCAACCACCACATTTAAATTTAAAAAAAAAAAAAAACAAAGTAAAAAAGATACTAAGAAAACCAAATACAGGGGAAACTAGAAGCTAAAAGAGAAATGATAACTGAAAACAGTTACTAGTAGTTAAATCTTTAAACCCTGCTGTTCTGAGGTAAAGGAACAACACCATCAAAGAAATCACCAAAGTAGCCATTTGGCTCATGAACCAGCCTCGATATTATATCTCTAAGTGTAATCACTCCTTCCAAGTTTTCATCCTTATCAACAACATAGATCCGTTGCATTTTCTCTGCATCCAGCTTTAGAATTATGTCTTTGATTGTATTTTCACTATGGCAAGTTAGTACGCCAAGAAATCTCGGTGAAGCATCATCATGCGTGTTCAGATAGCTCTTAATTGACCTTATGAAGTCTTTGGCTGTTATCGACCTGTGAATTTCATCATGAATTTACTTGTATTTTTCCATTACTCAACATATATATTTAAGAGAGAGAGAGAGAGAGAGAGAGAGATCATATCATATGTATATTTAAATATTTACTTGGGCCAAATGAAATAAATCTGCTGGTCCAAACCTGTAACCCTTGTACATTTCTGGAGCTGTAAGAAGGTACTGAACATCTCTGATGCTTATATTTCCAATTGCCTTGTTCCCAGTTTTATCAACAACAGGTACCCCACCAATTCTTTTTTTCCTCATCAGTTGGAAGGCTTTTATAATGGAGTCATCTTCGCTAACCTGCATCAAAGGAAGGTTGAATTTTATTTTATTTTTTATCTACAACCCAACAAACGATTTCTTCTCAGTTTTTTCATATAATGATGCATCTACAAGAAGGAAAAAAACGTGTTCTTCTTTCACATGTTCATCTATGTAAATATATGCATCCAATGAGTATTGGAGAAGGGTGTCAAACTTGGGAAGGTATATCTATGCAAAAGCTTCTGGGAATAAATAAGTGGAGGATTGAACAAAAATGAGAAAAAAAGCTAAATTTTTTTCATATATTTGACTGCTGCATTAACATGGTAAATACCTTGTTACTAACACCAATGATACAATCATTTGAACTCTCATCAATCGAGATATTATTCACTTTAGATTAATAGGCCTCAGGATTTTATCTTGTTGATATGGCTTCCTAGGTAAATGCCATCTTAAGAGTGCTCCTACATAAGCATGATAAATTTGAATTTCCTTATGAAACTCCAATCATTACATCAAAATTCTCCTCTTGGTTTAAGAGTTACACTTCATTGTAGATCTTCCCCTTTTAAGAACTGGATTCCTTGTCATTGGCCTAAAACTGGCCCATAATCATTCACCAACTATGATGCACGGACACGGACACAGCGACACGGACACGACACGACACGACACGGACACGAGACACGGTTTTTTTTGAAAATATAGGACACGGGTACGGCGCGGACACGGCAATACATTTTTTATATAATATATATATTAATGTAATATCATATTAAAAATGACAAACAATAATAAATGAATGACATGATAACTTGGCTAGCTTATAATATAAAATATTTAGTACAAAATATCTAGTACAACCACAAAAATATAAGCAAATAATCACTTACTACAACATCAAGCATTCAAGCTTCAACTACTATGATTAGCTTTAGAGGTTTGTTTTTGGCCTTCAATATCATCATCATTGAATATCACTGCTTTCAACTCTGGTTCAACAAGAGAAAGATTTGTAATTGTGCAAAAAGAGAGGAGATGAAAATACCTTCACTGCCAAAGAGAAATTAAAATGAGAATATTCGATGAATGGGTATTAAATGCAGACGTTGATTTGGTGTTGTGGATAGGAAATAAGAAATTTAGTTTAAATCTCGCTAAATATAAGAAATTATATTTTACAAAAATTATAAAATATTTAAGATACGCGTGTCGGACACACGTGTCCAATTTATTTTTAATATTTTTTAATCGGACACGTTTTCGGCGTGTCCGACACGTGTCGATCGGAGGAGTGTCGGACGAGTGTCGTGTCGGACACGGCACGCCTCTTTGAGGAGAAGTGTCGGTGCATCATAGTTTACCGACATAATAGTTGACGCTAAAAGTTTCCAAGAGTAGCGTCCCATAACTTAGCACATATTTTAAATGAGTTCAACTCATGATGCAACACTTTGTCATGAATAACACTAAGTTCCAATTTTCTAATTCACCATTTGTTACTATCTAGACTCTATCATACATGAAAATATTGCATTTTTTGTCATCAGATTTTTTTTTTTAATTTTTTAAATTTTTAATACATGAAAATATTGCATTTTTTTTGTCATCAGATTCTTTTTTTTTTAATTTTTTTAATTTTTTTAATTTTAATTTTTTTTTAGATGTTCTCACAATTTTTGACCTTTTAGGATTATCTGAGGAGGTCACTCATTTTAGAAGTATTAATTTCAGAGTTACTAAATGAACACTAAACGACATCAAAAGATGCATAGTTATTTTAATGTATTAAAAGATCATATAAGTGAAATCATCTATTCGGTCTATAACGGCAGAACTTTGTTAGATGCATCCAATTATGATTTAACCACATTGGCCATTTGTTGATATTTATGGCATCCATGTCAAACTAGCAAAGACAGACTCGATAGCTGAAATGATCTTAGTTGATGTAGTGGTCCTAACTTGTTCATTGGTTTTTTCTTTGACAGTCCAGCAATTTCTGTCTCTATTTTTTTATGGCTTAGTATGAGGCAGATTTCTTGGAAACTTGTTTTGGTCAGTGGCTGGAATTTGCCCAGTTGATGGGGTGCACTTCTTTCCAAGCGATCGCGAGGTTGTTCGCGATCGGGTCGGTTGTCGTCACCATAAGGTGAGTGAGGTCTGGATGGTATGTAGATCGCAGGGTTTCTCATCCGTTCAATATTATCTAGACGGTCACTCGTATGGCGCCTAAAGTCGGCTAAATCCGTTTGGGTGTTGCGGATTTGTTGCGTAACCGATCCCAATTGCCCAACTATGAGGTCTAAAGTCGCTTGCAAGTGTTCCGGGTCCATTGGTGA